TTTGGGAATAATCTGGGGCCGAATAGTGGAGCTTGATTTTCTGGGTCACCCGAAGAAACTCCATGGTATCTGTTGGACACAAAGCTACTTGCAGCTTAAAAAGCAAAACAGGTGGAATGGACCAAGGTGAATACAGGACCAAATCCATCAGACACCTCTCCAATCACCTTAACTGAGACATGCGCTGGAATCCTAAAACAGGATAAATCCGAACTAAACAATGGAGACAGAGGTGCACTAGTACTCTAATGCCATAATTGTAATTATATCTCTCACCAGATTGTGGAAAGCATTTAACTAAATTCTTGTTTGCCTTATTAAAAAAAAGGTATAGCTTGTAAAGGAAAGCAACGTAGAAATTTGTGCTTTATAGACCTGCTTAATTTCACATCAGACTGGTGGACACAGTCTGCCTAGGCACACAGAAGGCAATTGTGCAGCAGCTGCCCGAGATTGCTGGGATATTACGGTATTAAAATAAGTAGCCAAGCCGCCATTAAAACACAAAGCATAAGGATAAAAAGAAGAGAAAATGTGTTTCTAGTTATCCCAGTTTAGCGGGGCCAAGTTAGCCCAAAGGGGGGAGAAATTGAACTCAAGAGTGTTTCCTTCAATCGATTGTGGATTTAAAGTGACACTCCTCTAAGCCAACAGCTCTCTGAGACTCAGAAGGCAGTAACACTTTGTTTTATGGATCTGCTGCAAAGAGCGAACGTCGTCTGCCCACTTGGCTCCATAACATCGGAACATATAATGTAGTTCATGAATTTCTAATTTTTGGTTAAACCAGAACTGGATCAGTTTCAGACACATTTCAAAAAGTGTTAACTGCTAAACCCCAATTGTTTGACCTAAACGTGAACTCCACACCTACAGCATGACACATCACTTTCATCCATCTGATACAGATGGCTCAAGCGAAAACTGTGGTGAATGATGTAACGTGATGTTATGATGATGCACACTTCCAAAACACATACAAAGAGGACGTCTGGAGCCTGTGGACATATTATTTTCGTAAGCAACATACAATTTAACCAAAAAAAATGTATGTAAGATAACACATTTTATCACAAAGTTGTTTAAAGTGACAAAATTATTTGTTTAATTTATATGTTCGCACAAATTGGAAATTAATTGAATTGGTTCCTGATTTACTTGAGGAACCCTAGACCACAAGAGATATCCTAACACTATAAGGTATCTTAAAAGGGATCAGTGCAGGTGGACATATTTAAATGACACAACACAACATGAATTAAAAGCAATTTGGGAGAAAACATTTTTCGAATACAAAGGTAGGTCAAAATTGTTTGGAATGCCTTGCCAAGCTTAAACCAGCATAGTGCTAGGGGATACGTTGTGAATGAGGTAGATTACTGAGCTCATGGAATGTGAGCAGACTCTGGTGGGCCAGAGTTTGATTTTTTTCACTAGAGTCTGTTTCACCTCAACCATGCAACTCTGACATCATGTAGCATGAGATCAGACAGACTGGGCATCATTTAACTGTCCCTATGAACAACAATTCCGCCAGAGTAATATTATCGATTTCTCAAATAAGTTACTGCATTTAGAATAGTTACCAAATGATAAAGAGAACCTTATTCTCACCTTATGGTGCATTAAAATATGTTTACAAGTTATCTTCGTGCAAGGCTATGGCACCATAGAATACAGCTGTTTTGTTGCAACACCATATATTTTCACCAAGACGCAGCAATAAATGTGTTAACTAAAATGCCTTTATTTGCCTGTCTATATTTGCCATTAACCATTTTAGCACAGACTGGATTTATCACGGTCATTCTCCTTTTTCAGAGAGCTCAGCGACATACTGTAAACAGTTTCAAAAGCCTGTTTCTACCTTGGACTGTAAGTTCTGCCATCAGCAAACATGCCCAAGGTTTATCTTACCATTCATAATATACGAGCTATGCTCTGAAATAAGCATATACCCTTAATCATGCCACAAATGGGATGAAGTGGAAAACAGAAGGGCTTTCTAATACCTTTTAATGTGACTATCCAAATCAATCCCAAGACCAGAAAACACAAGCCTATCTCTTGGCTAATTCAGTACCTGAGCCAGCCAAGATAAAAAATTGGTTGCAGCTGCATTAAGGCTTTTGTATTACAGCTCAGCTTTATTAATTTCTGATTTTCCATCGAAGATAAACTAACATTTACTAGCTATTTTTAAATGGTTTCAAAATGTGTGTGCAACTTTCGAACTTACATTCTTACTAATAGAATGAGTTAATTCTGGATTCTGTGACATCGGATGAACTAAGGATAAACGTTTCACCCTGTCTGGATAACTATTGTTTTGGTGGACATACAACTAATTTATATTTGCAAACGACAGCTTGGTGAGCTGCAGCTCGCTTTTGAAAAATAAGCAGGAAGACCAATTCCACCAACAGGATGCAGCAAAGTGATAACAATCAGTTACTTCATAGATCCTTTGTTGCTAATAAACTGAAAGTTAATACATAATCTTAACAGTATATAAGCACCATATATACGTTTTATACCACCATATATACACCATATATATGTACTCTTTATCATACACAGATCATACATGTGCACATAAACAACGCCATATATTTATCTAAAATAAAGGATATAAACAGTACATGTATTTACCCCCGCCCCCCACAAAACAAAATACATAATTGAAACATTGGCTACCCAGTGTTGGCTTATAAATCTCTCATAGATCATTTTTTTAAAATATAAGACGTCTTTGTATCGTCTAATAAGACCGAGGAAATTGTGGAACGGTAAAAATGGCTTTTAGAAGGTGAGGTGTCCTAGTTTATGAGGACGAGGGGTAACACTTTTCCCTTGTAACTCACAAATGATCTAAAACTTTATCCACTGAGAAGTTGCCACCACAGAATAGCGCAGTCCTCAAATATGTCACGCATTCGAAGTCAGGGCAACCTCTGCTGCGATCGCTGACGCGGGCCCCGCGGGGGTGATAACTGCGCGTAAGGCACCGGTTACGTCAGCTGTTCGAGGCGATTGCTGGAGGTGAGCGCTGCAGTTCACCGAGGGGGCCTGGGACTAATTCGGTAATGATAACTAACACGTGAAACAGGGAGAACGATTTCCTTTCAACTCACAAAGCCCGAGCAAGAAAACGCTACTAACAGAGTAATTGGAGGCAGGCGTAGTTCACGAGATGTGGGAGCGCGTTATTAACCCACTTGGGTCTACAAATACGTTTTCAACGCTTTATTATTGTGAACACGGATACTACTTCGAGTTATAATGTTATCAGAAACATACTATACTTCACGATCGAGCTGCTATGGAGCATCGTTTAATATAAAACAGAAATTGTGTATTGCTTGTATTGTTTTTAGTATTTTATTTTAGTTCTGGAAAAGTGTATTCTCCTCCGCGAGTTATAGCGTTTAGTCCGCAAATGGTCTTGGAGAAAAAACGCAGAATCGTGGCCTCATGCTTCAGAGATTTAACTACAAAAGTAGTTAAACCACTCCAAGCAACGGTGGTTTAAACAAGTATCTTGGGGGAAAAAAAACAACAGCTTTGACATAAGGTAACGAATGGAGTAAAGCTAGTTGGGAAAATTAGTTTGAAATGTAGTTTGAAAATTAGGCCGTACGCATTGCTCTTAAAATGCGTCTACGTGAAATTTAAAAATACTCGAAAAAGATGAATCTGATGTTTTAGAAATTAAAGTGTAACAGAATGTTTTTCTATAAAGCGAACTGGATTTGGAATTCACGGGGCAAACGATGTAAAAAAGGCTCTAGCTCAATGGCCCGCTACATGCAGTCTATATACAATAGCGAACTACTGTACTGTACGTCATTAAACGACGTGAAAACACAGTGCAAGCTGGCCAGTTCTCTTACTGCATAATGTTTTTACTGTAAAAAAAAGAGCCGTCGAACTTTATATAAACAAACGCGCGCCGCCCCTTTAAAGACACAGATGAGCGACAGTGTGTCCCACACGCTTGAACTCCATGCCAACAGAAAATGAAATACAACTTATTCCACCTACATTCGCTAAACGTCGCCCACTTTTTTTTTTCTCGTGACTTCAGCGGTCGCCCCTAAACCTGAGCCAGCTCTGGCATTTGTTGTTTTGCGCAGTTGCAAAAGCCTCGGTTCAGATACACGCTTGCAAATACCGCCGCTGTCTTAACGGTGGGCAAACCCGTCACGTTGTAAAACACGGCTGAGACAACGGGGACCCGCTGTGTGATTCTCTAAGGCGATTCTAGTTGCATCACAGCACCCGAGCTAAAAGAAGCAGATAACGTCCCGATGTCAGTGGCTGGCCATGAGACGTCAGGAGCGTAGTCTTTGTGGATCCATCAAGGACAGGCAGCTTGTACTGCGTACAGGGAGGAGGTTGAAACCCTGGCAGTATGGTGCCAGGAGAACAGCCTCTCTCTGAACATCAGCAAAGACATTTCATTGCCAGCAACTACTGCCGCACGCTGTATTGTTGTGCATTTGATAAATTGATTGATTGATTGATTGTACTCTCTGCATTGACTCAAATGCTGTACAACACCTCTACACCCCTGGCCTGATACTCAAGTGTAGAAATACGTGTGCGGTCAAATGAATGAAATGTGTGTTTGTGAAGAAAACGGTGAATTCCGATGCCCAATACGTCAATGTCATGATATGTATGATACTGGTGCGGGAGAATGCCTTAATTGCATATGTTGAGAGTTCGGGTCCGACCCGGCCACCAAGAAGCTAGTAGAGGTCACTTCCACGTTGAACGGTACAATGAAAGAAAAAGAAATACTCTTAATTTAACCTTGCAGAGTGGAACCGACCTCTGCCTCCCCCTGAATTGGACCTGATTCTTTTTTTTTAACTTGCTCCGCTAAAGAATACATGGCCAGATCTCGACTTCACTCCCTTCCTTCGCACTTCACGCCCTGTCCTGCTACCGTTTAAGACCTGGGCCGAAAACTCAAAACTCCTTCTTGTACTCACAGGGTGACGGTCAGGTTGGGGAGCAGTCTAGCCTGGGGCGGCTCGGTCAGTTCTTCCCCGATGCAGCTCACTTTCTTGCGGGAAGCCGTGACGTGAGACTTGGACCGGTCGTCGTTGCAGCGGCAGCCGCTGATGGTGGTCAGCTCGGAGCAGGCTTTGGCCAGCCGAGAGCCGGAGACAGCGAAAAGAACAAGGAGCAGAAATAAGGGGAAACAGAACGGCACGCCAGCCCCCGGCACCCGCATTGTCCCCGTCTGTTCAGCCTCAGCTGTCCCGCTGTCAGCCCATGTCTCCGAGGGCGCAAATCCGCCGATTACTGCCGCGGGCTCATTTGTAGGTTTACAAATTAATTTCTGTGTCTTCTGGTTGAGACTGCGCAGAGAACCGCGCTGCGGGATGTGTTGAGACCTTATTAAAAGTTTGTTCCTGAAAAAAAAAAGGCAGGAAAATCAAAAATGGCCAAGCCAAGCAGATCTCCTCTTGCTGTCACCGTGGATAAATTATTAGTGATCAAAGAAGAATCCAGAAGCTGTCACTTTTCAAAATGTGCGCTCCGTTATGAAAACCTCAACTGTCCTAAGTGACGTTTAGCACAGCTCAATAGTGCTTTAATACTATCTCGGATAAAATGAATACCAAATACATTATTATTGATTACAAGACAAAAGTAAGCACTGTTATGTTGGTTTTAAAGCAGTTGTTCTTCACTCGATTAGAGTTCCAAAGGGAAACGTTAATGAAGTTGTTTCTAAATGAGGCAATTAACTGTTTCTTAGAACTTTCACTCCGTTGCATCCCTCCGAATGGATTCCTAATGACATTTACATTGTTCAGCCGAGAAAACCGACCCTCGGGTTGGTTATGCGCCGTCTAAGAATTCGTGCTGTACAGTCCTCTGGTGAAAAACAAATTTCTTTCCTTCCTCTTCTGGTATCCTGTACAGTTCATTGAAGCGCATGACAAATGAAATAGGAATTACAGCCGTACTGTAATTCCCAAATTTGGGAGCTGACAGGACGCGGGGACGTTTCTTTCTTATTTTTCACGCACCAAGTTGCCAGTTTTGGAGTTGATTGTTCCGTTATCAACCTCCCGGTCTCTCTTAAATAAAGAACTCCTATGTGGGAAGGAAAGCGCCGGTCCGGATAACGGTAGTGGGAGCCCTGCGCGGCTCGGCTGTGATGGCTAAGCTGTAGCGGTCTGCGCCTGCCACTCTGTCACACTCCACTCCAGTCAGGGCCTCCAGAGCGCGCATCCCCTCCCCAGCGGCGGGGAGCGCGCAATTCTTCAGGGTCCTAGCGCGGGAAACGCCACGCGTTTAGCACTTGTGTTGGCAATAGCAAGAAAGACGTTTTCACCCTGTGTCCTGAGGAACACTTGAGCATGATCACGGATCTGCTATAGCTATGTATGCAATTGAAAACGACGTTAAAAAAACACTTTGAAATGAACAGAGGTGCAGTATATTCTGTAACACAATTTATAACTGTTTTCTGTATTCCACTGGCTTCAACCAGTCATGCTTATTTATATTTATTATAAGAGACTCCAGAATTCCCAGTTCATCTACAGCAGGGGTGTCCAGTCCTGGTCGTGGAAAGGGTGGTTTGTATGTTTTCTAGGTCTCTTAAAAAAAAAAGGCATAAAGCACTTAAAAAGCTGGGTGAAGTTTTCAAGTGCTTGTATTAAGCCAATAATGAGCTGAAGTAGGCTGTTAACAGATGAGGTGGAATGCAAGCCTGCAGATACAGTTCCCATCCAGATCTAGGTTCTCCTTGCCCTGGTCTGAAGAGATACTGTACTTACCTTACAATCAGTATAATCTGCAGTAAACCTTTATCAGTCGCAACAGATGCCCTGTCTAGGGTATATCCTGCCTTGTTCCCATTGTCTGCTCTACACACAACCTGTCCTGCACTAAGATATATTTAGTTACAGAAAAAGAGTGGATACTCTGGGTTAGTTCAAGGAACAGCCTGATGAGATCTTCAGATCAATGATCAATTAACAACTAAAGTCCACAGCTAGATGGCTTCAACAGCCTGCTCCCATTCGCTGCCTTTCCTCTGGTCCTGTGTTTGTAAAGGGATTATGATGAGGAGGTAGTTTGATGTTGACCAAAAGGGGCTAAACTGGATGGATCTGACGCAGGCAGTGACGATTACCCCCAATTGTTGTCACCCTCCACCAAACACACTCCATATACGATTTGGGCAGCATGGGGCAATACATTAGAATTCTAAAAGCAGGTCTTCCATTCTGAGCACACTTCCATAGAGGGGTGCTGAGCAGGCACCAAGGTGTTCAGGTCCATGTTCAGACAGCTCACCCCATCTGGATTCATTTTGCTTCACTCTCAGTTGTGTGAGATGTGAACTACTTGACTTCAATTTCAATTGCCTAACCCATTTCACCTTGCAGGGGGAATGTGGCCCATCTAGGGTGGAGCGCTGGCTCTGTGGCTCAGGATCTGCGCCTGTGGCTGGAAGGTTGCTGGTTTGTATCCCGCGACCGGCAGAGGAATCCTACTCCATTGGGCCCCCGAGCAAGGCCCTTAACCCCAACTGCTCCAGGGGCGCTGTACAATGGCTGACCTTGTGCTCTGACCCCCAGCTTCTCTCCCTGTCTGTGTGTCTCAAGGAGAGCAAGTTGGGGTCTGTGAAAAGACAAATTCCTAATTCAAGAACTTGTACATGGCTAATTAAGTGATCTTATTTTATCTAGGCCAAAAGACTTCAAACACATTTTCTGGAATCATGTACTGTAATATAGCTGGCTAATTTTATTTTCTGCAACCCATTCCCCTTTTCTGGTCTTGTAAATAAGTAACATAACGTAACAGTGGTAAATTCTCGAATTATCACTTAACTAAACTTAACTAAACAGCTGTGACGTGTCTGTGAAATAACCCCAAGAGGAAACTCCTTAATGCATCTGAAAAAACAAACCCTGAAGGGCTAACAACATAGGGACGTCATGTGATTGTGTAATTATTTGATGCTTTACTTGTGCATCTTAGTGTACTACCGTCACGAGCCGCATACCCATGAGCACCTCTCACCGCCAACACCCGCGCACGACTTCATCAATGGTCATCCCTCACACTCTTCCCTGTCGATACCTTCTCGCTCCTCTCAGTCCCCGCTCACTAGTGAGAAGTTCTCTTCGGCTTTCCCTGGGGCGCGCTTCAACTCTCGACCTCGTTTCCTCCTGCTTCGACTTCGCCTCTCGTCTCGGATCTGGATTCACCCGGCCCGACTCTTTTGGCTGCCCGACCTAGTTCTTCTGTTTCGGCTACGACTTCTGCCTTTTGCCGTTGGGATTGGGATGCCAATCAGTCGCAATCACCTTCAGTCTTAGCGCTGCATAGGGTCCCACCTGGTGCTCCTAACGCCCTGTCTGACAACTCCATTGTATTACACATTTATTACAATAATAATAATAATAATAATAATAATAATCTTTATTTTATATAGTGCCTTTAAAGGTGGCTTTTCAAAGCACTTTACAGAATGACAACAACAATAAATAAGAAGAATACACAAGATAAAACACAATTACAATATACAGAGGAGACCATAGATGGTGGGACTAAGAAAAGCAGAGGGGTGAAGAATGGAACCAGTTAAGTAAAGGCTTTTCTAAGAAGAAGGTTTTGAGTCTGGATTTGAAGGAGTTTAGAGAAGGTGACTCTCT